GAACATATGTAGCATCTTACTACACACATTGAAGGACCTGAGCCTCCTCAAGAATTAAAGTCGGCTCTGTCCCTTCTTATAGATGGCCTCATGTTCTTAGACCATTCCAGTCTATCGTCGATGTGTACTCCCAGGTACTTGTACGAGTCCACCATCTCCACGCCACTCCCATGGATGTAGACAGGAGTAGGTTTGACCTTTTTCCTCCTGAAATCTACCACCAACTAGTACTGTTTCAGGGAAGGGAACACAGGCACTTGAGAGTTCTATGATATTCTGATTTTTCTTCCTACTGATCTCTTAATTAATTTATCAAAAGCGCTTGAGTTAACCATATAAAATTATTCCAAAGCCTTGAGAAATTAATTTTTTTAAGTTACCTGTAAATCCTGCTGGACTGGGGCTCTCCAGGAGCCGAGTTGGAGACCGTTTCTCTAAGCCCTTTGATTTAAAATATTTATATCTACTGTATACACCTATTATCAAGAAGCCCCTAGAATCATCAAGATCATCCTAGAAGCACAGGGCACTAGGTGGGATTACACACTGGACTGGATGGCAGTCCATTATGCACACATGCACGTGTGCAATTAGGAGCTCTAACATTGCCAGTATGTCTGTGGAAGGAGGGAGGAAACTGATTCAGAACAAATGCAGAACAAATGTGAGCTTCATACAGATAACTATAAGGCACAGTTCCTCAAGGTAATACAGTATTATAATGATAAATGCATGCCATCCCAGAAGGAAATCAAAAAGACAATGTAAAATAACTTTGGTCAAGATGTTTTCAAATGTACTACACTTCATCCAGACCTACAGTAGGCCTAGTAAACTGAGAGCCAGATAAAGGAGTTTGAGAAACGTCACCGCTTTCTTCGAGATAAAGAGGCAGCCAGGATAGCTGCACTGAGGGAGGATAAAATTAATTTACAGATGGAATTTGCTTACTTACTCTGATGGGTCTATACCTTCCTCTGATACAGTGTGTCTATGCCTAGGGTGAAGTCAAAGTCCATCAACAGATGACTTTATATGAATCCAACAAGAGGATTCTTGATGACATGGCCTGTTTAATGAGATACAGAATGACCTAACCATGGACATACTGCTCACTCTGAAATCAAACCCAAGAAGATCAGAGTGCTGCTGGACTATGACACGTGGAGGTGTCATTCTTGAACACCCATCTACTGTATACTTTTACACATTTACAGAGAAGGTTTTTCCATCCTTCTTCCCTGGCTTTGACCTTACTCCTGTGAGAACCTGCCAAGTACGTGATATTGGATAATAGCATAGTTTGTTGATGGTAGAACTCTTGCCCACCTGATGCTAGCAGAATGGTGTCTCTACTGAGTGAGTGCTCTGTACTTTTTCTGACAGATTCATGTCGATTTAATTATTTTGTTAGTAACTTCATTGGGAATCATGCACCCAGTTTAATGTCCCTGATCTCCTCCTGCTTCCAGATCTTTCTCTTAGAACTGCCATCTAAATACAGGGCCCCCCTTTTCCCTCTGCTTGTTAATTCTCTACCTTCTACAGGCTTTATAGTTTTAAAACACAACAGGTTTCACCAGAATCCTCCCAGAGAAATGGATGTTGCTTTTTCTTTGGAAAATCCAATTGCAAAACTTGGAAAAACTCAACCACGGTATCCAAAGGCGACAGCCAGTCTCCCTTTCTTATCAGACACAACCCAGACTGTAATTGGGGGGATCACCTAGTAAAAATCAGGGAAAGTTGGTGTGAGACAAGGCTTCAGTAGACTTCGCTGAGTAATTGTGGTCAAACCAAGTTTAAATTGAATAACTGAATAACTGTTATTCCCTTTAAAACCTGCATGCAGTGAGCCTACCATTTATGTGGTCCTGGAAAAATAAACATTCTTCAAAACACTATTTAGATTTATTTATGGCAAACTTGGACCCCTGGTTTTGATTAAAGATTGAGAAAAATTGAGACAGGAAAACAAATACAGTGTTAAAATTTGTGGCCTGTTGAGGTGGTGTTGCCCTTTTCCCAACTTAATATTTCAGTTACCTGACAAGAAGGAAACCCCAGATAGAAGGAACAGTTCCCCTATAGGACTGAGTCAAAAATTAATTGGAAGTCAGGAGGAGATAAATAATTATATAAAATCTTTTTTTCTTGTTGTTCATTGCATGACTTTGTTGCATGAATGCTAGTTATTCATTCTGGAGAGATTCTGGGGTTCAGTTCTCACTGCAAAACCCAGACACAAGATTCTCAGAAATGCCAAACCTGAATCTCTTCTCCATGGAGTAGTCAAAACACCTAATAATTGAAAGTGTTTCTGCAAAGTTACAAAATACAAATGTCAAAATCAGAATAACACATCTGCAGATCACTCTGAAGAAGGCAATCTGAATGATACTTCAGAATTATAAAGAAGTTAGCAGTGGTTATCAATAAAAACACAAGACACTTGCTTTGTCATTAATTTATATTATTCAATTATACTGTATATATATATTTTTAAATTACATCACATCTGTTATATAACATCTTCATAATCCTGCTCTCCTGTAACATTCATGTCAGGTCCAAACAACCAAAAAAAAACAATTTCAGTCTTTCCATTATTTTACATCCATATCAGTGCAAAAAGCTAAAGCAATCCTAAAGAAACAAAGTATGTACATCTATACTTAGTTATTTTATAATAATGTATTTTAGTGGTTTATTTGAGTTAAAGAACAATTTAAAAACTTTTTTTGGGTAAAAGAAATGCTTTTAATTATATCACCAAACCACGAGTCATATAAAAAAACGCTCAGTCTATCAAGATTCAGTGCAAAAAAGAACTTAAAGAACACTGAATTCTTTTAGTTCTTTGTCTTGTGCAAGAGAATTTATCAAAACTGAGACAAAAATAAAAATAAAAGGGTAATCAGAATCTAATAAACCAAATATATATCCTCATTTTCTAAAGCAATGTGCCCATAAATATTATGGTTCACAAGCAAAACCACTACAAAGTAAAAACAGGAATGTCCCTATAAAACTGATATAACCAGTCATACACAGCTGCAATTCTTTTTTTCATAATCATAAAGGAGTAATTTTTTTTATTCAAAAGTGGGGATGGGCCCAATTTTATGACAGTTGTGAGTCAGCACACCTATTTCTTGCAAATCAGCTAAGTGTACTCCGAACAGAAAAAAAGTTTGGAAGTAGTTAAAAAAAGTTTGAGGTTATTCTGGAGCTTGTCTTAATCCTGGTGCTTTATCATTCTCTACCACAATAAAATCGGCAGCCCTCAATCACAAATTTAGGGACTATTCAGGGAGTTATGCACTGGATTGTTGACATTTATAACAGATATGGAAACCAAGAGATGGCAGGATGAGGAAGAGTATTGAACTAAACATCATGTGACTGTTCTGTCTTGTAACAGACTATTGTAATGCTCTGGTTTATTATAATAAGGAGACATTGCAGTAATACTGTGCAGACCTTGTTGAATCAAAATCATATGTCAATGACAAGAAAGTGTAATGTAAGAGAAAGTGTATTTTCACCACAGTGTCGTAATTTAAGGATGATAAGAAAAGTTTCACAAACTGAATGAACTTGGAGGAAGACATGATTCTTGTTCTTACTGCTCTGAACCTAAAGAGCCCATGAGCAATCACATAGCAGACCTACACTCATTCCCTGGGAATGAAGATGTGTGGTCTTCCTCTTTCTGTTCCGATCAGCAGAGCTGGAAACTAGAAAAAACACATCCACCCTTTGCACACACTCAAGCTGAGCACGTAAACTTCAAACTATAAAATAAACGTCTCTCTTGCTTTCATTAGAGTTCATGAAAAAATAGTAGATAATAGATTTATGCACTTTCCTAGCAACTGGAGGCCTCTTGACCCTTCTCCATCAGCTTAAGGTTGGAATTTACAGTTTGGGACTTTAGCCGATGTATTGGGTTGCTCAGGCTGGAAACAGAAATCAACGTGATTTGAACCAGATCTCAACAGAGAGATGTTCAACAAACAATTGTTTAAAGAAAATAATCAGGCATATTTTTCAGAACAGGCTAACATCAGGCTTGCACCAAGGCTAGGCCACGTTACCCAGAATGCAATACACCAATGCCACCCACAGTGAACAGTGTTTCTCAATATTTTGGATGCAACAGCTCAAGTGCTGATTGATGTAGTGTTTTAGGAAAATTAATGAGGAGAGTGAGAGAGGAAAGTGCTCATGAAACAATCACAGTAGAACGGCAGAATTGACAGGTTAACGATTGCACAGCTAGGAACAGAAAATTGGAAAATCTGTTAATGCTGTATGCATTTTGTTCTCTGTCTTGGATCTTGGAAAGATGTATGTTTAAGCACAGCAGCTGAAAAGGTTTGGTTCCAAGAGTTACAGTCTGTACACGTCTCCCGCAATGGGACTGGTTAAGCCAGTATAGACAAGCTGTGTTGAGTGTGCCAAGCTCTTTGTAAATGATGTCCCTGGATCGAAAAAATTGTACAAAATCCAAAACTTTCTGTAGGCAGTTATGGTCACTACTGCTGCTCCAGTGCCTCTGCTATGAGTCGGAGATCTCAGAGCAGGTATTGGAGTCACTGGTTTTCTTCCGTCGGTTCCGAACAGACTTCAGCTCATCCTAAGGACACAAGCAATGGAACACTTGTAAGTGATGGACATAATTCATAATGCAATGCAATCTGCTTCCAGGGTGCTCTTCACACAGAGACTCCCAGTGAGCTGAATCCTACAATAGTGTCCCAACCTTCAATTAATTTGCAACTGTCGCATAATTCTAAAAAAAAACAAAACACAATTAAGATCCAGAATGCCTTTTCACCCACTCTAAGCCATATCCTAGATGGCAGGCTGGCACTTGAGCCAGTCAGGATGTGGTTGGTGGGAGGGAACATCCAAAGTATTGCAGTGGTCCAAGCAGACAGTCATGTAAGAACTCATGCGGTGATGGTCGCTGCTCAAATTACAGATTTAAGTGGACAGATAAGATTATCTGTTATTAAAAAAATAACAGATAAGATTAAAAACAAAACTCAAACTAAAACCATCCTTCTGAATTAAGACTCAGTCAAAAAATTATCTCAGGTCTGTCGGTCACACTCTCTTTGTTAGTCTCCACCCAAAACGATTGTTGGTTAGCTGATCCTGGAAGTGACCATAGAAATTTGTGCTGCTTTGTCATTTCACCCAAACAGTTTATCCAAAGCTTATCTTAAAAAACTGACAGTGACTTGCTCCTACACTACTGACAACTGTTTGCAGATGCCTTTGGTGTCATCAAGGAGGGGCAGTTGCATTCAGCATATGCCTGGAAAAAGCTAAATATTTCAACACATTCTTTGTTGCAGAATGCTGAAATAATGGCAAAATGACAAACGCCATGATTGCTCATTGTGATTCCACACTGCAGCACCCTGGTTAGGGCACTTTACTGCAAGGCTGTGGGTGTGGGAACCAGTAAAGAAACAGTCAGGTCCAAAAAAAAAAAGACAACTCAAACATTTTTTAAACTAGCTAAAACCACTTTTTCCCTCAACTATGTACAGTATTTTTCAGGGTGCTACTCTCAGGAAGGTAAAAAGAGCAGACTCCTTACCACCTCAAACACCCCATTCTGTCCCCACTCCCCGGGGGACTGATCATCCTGCTCCTCTGGCTCCTCCTCCTCTTCCTCACCCTCTTCCTCTCGTACCGTGTCCATTCCATCATCCTCATATTCCGTCAGGCAGTCCGATTCCTCTGCTAAATTGGAGGGGAACAAGGTGGGGTCTTAGTTCCGTGGCAAAAAGGCCACAAGTTTATTCAAACACCTTTGTGGCTTCTTCTTTCATCCTGTAATGCTATCAAAATACACAGCATTCTAATGGTTCACTTTTCTTGATAACTTAACATAATGAAATTCATTTAAAAGAGTAAGGTAAAGGGAACATGGGACCTTGGTAGAGATATCAGGTGTTGCTGACAAGCACAAATCATATGGAATCAAGGATCATTTTCAGTATCAGAGTGTTCAAATCCATAATGCTCTTCCATTTAGGAAGATGCTTGCTGGAATGGAACTTCATATACGGTATCAGGACAGCACAGAGGCAAAACATTATTTTTATGCATTTCTGAAGTAAATTATTAACTTGGGTGCATCTAAGCATGATGAGGAAGTTACTTATTCCTAATAAGGATCATGGCAATCTGGAGTTTAGCTCAGAGCCAAAGTGTGCAAGATCGGACTACACCCCGCATGGGACACCAGTCTGTCACAGGTCCTGTCTTTGCAGGGGTAGAGAGGAGACACAAAGCAGGTACTAGTGAGACAGAAAGAAAAGAAGAAGAGTGGAATTATGAACAAGACCACTGTGCAGCATGTTCTAGCTAGACGCATGTATAATCTGAGAAGCTGACCCATCACTGGCCTAAAGCTTTTGTTTCCGCCTGGATTTTAGATATGGTTTTGCCATTTCAGTTTCAGGATCAAGAACAAATCAATCTGAGCCTCACCTTCTGCAGACACGTAGCTATGGACCGGCTCAATCCTGGACACAATCTCAGCGAGGTCCGTGAAGTCTGCCCCAGGGCAAATCTATAGGGTAAGGAAGAACCGTCCTGAAGCTTAATAAACATCAGTTTACAGCATCCGAGGCTGTAGGAAGGAAAACAGCTTTAAGTACAATTTCTGATCATACGGTGTACTCACATCCGCCTTCTTGCTCTCGTTGAAATCGGCTGAGCGCCTGTCCTTTAGCATGTTGTCAATGATGTCCCCTCGGCTCCAGGCATTGAACACTACTTTACCATGCTGGTAGCCCACGTCCTGAGAAACGGGGAGAACGGGAGGGATACTCTATTGGGCTAGGAGGTCCGAACAATTTGACACATTTTGGTGCTTCATGCAGATAGGACCCAATTTCATTTATAACTCTATTGGTGTTAAATGGTGTCAAATTACTCCTATACCCAGAAATCCAATGCATATTCCACTCCCAATTTTCATAAAGAAACAGGTGCTTAAATAAAATGGCTCTGATCCCAATTTTGCTACGTGTACTTCTGAAATCGGACAATTAAAGGACTGAGGGATTTTGTGGCATGCTTGTCAGATAGTCAGGAGCTTCCAATTCAAAGAAGCCACTGCTCTTGAACAGACTATCTGTACTCACGTAGATCTCGTCAAACTTGCCAAAGTCCATGGTCTTAAAGCGGTCGATGGGGGGTCGGATGTACTCGCAGTAGGCACTGTTCTTGACCACCTCCAGCTGCCGGACGCAGGACACGTAGGCCAACCTGGACTGAATCTCAGCCATGTCGGGCACCTGTGGAGCACAGGATGGGAGCAAGGGGACAGTTAGAGGATTGTCTGGGAACAGTCCAACACAAAATGTGCAGGAACCAAGAACATCTGTAGAGCAGGCGTCTGGATTCCATTCTAGTCTTATCATAACATGTTAGAATTCTACGACTGAGATCTATACCTAGCAATATCAGCTTAGACTTGGTCAGGACACTAACGTTGTGGCATCCCTGCAGCAGCACATTGACATTATTCCTCAAAAACATTCTCAATCTGCAAATGCACACTCTCACATGATCTACTGTATTTAAACCATACCCTTTCCTATACAGCAGTCACAATATGTGGGATCGATTTAAAATGAAACATCATGTTTCCCCAACCAGCAGCATACTACAGCCTGTCTAACCAGGTGTTATGGATTTTTGTCTAGGTAGGTTTGGTCATTTGGTCGTTTGCAAATGCCTTGCCCTACTTTGAAGTGGAAGAATCCTTTGAGGTTAACCTGCCTGTGAAAACCCCAAGCAGCTGTGAAACTGGTGGCAACAATAGTACGCTGGGCAAACGTTCCGAGGTCAAATTCTTCCAGCACGGGGGTACCTTTAAAGCGGAG